GTATATATAGGTAAACAATTGCCATTAACATTATATATAAGTATATACTCGTAACAACCTGACGTTCAACTTTATCAGGCAGAAGTTTCTCTCGGTTTCAGAGAATTGCTCATCACTACCCGCAGATCTTTATCGGTTTCAGCAGATTTTCCCATCAGTGTCAAGACAGTTTCTGCTGCCATCAGGCCTGAAAATCTGTGCGTTCGTGCCAGAGACGGGCGAGGGGGTGGGGTGAACAAAGGGGATCGGCAGATCCCCTCGGCTGGGGGCGGGGGGGCCGAATCATTATGGCCGTGTTAGTGGGGGCCTGAGCTCCCCCTCCTCCTAAAGACGAGTCCCCGACTCTTCCCTCCTGAAGGGGAGACCCAGCTGCAGGGTGACGGTTGTCCCTTCCCTGAAAGAAGGGCTGTCTCTTATACACATCTAGATGTGTATAAGAGACCGATCCAAGACAACTCCAACCCGAGGCAACTCCAACCCGAGGCAACTCCAATCCAAGACAACTCCAACCCGAGGCAACTCCAATCCAAGACAACTCCAACCCGAGGCAACTCCAACCCGAGGCAACTCCAACACGAGGCAACTCCAACACGAGGCAACTCCAACACGAGGCAACCCCAACACGAGGCAACTCCAACCCCAGGCAACCCCAACCCGAGGCAAACCCAACCCGAGGCAACTCTTACGCGAGGCAACTCCAAACCGAGGCAATTCCAACCCGAAGCTATTTCAACCCGAGGCTACTCCAACCCGAGGCAACTCCAACCCTAGGCAACTCAACCCGAGGCGGCAACTTTAACTCTGACGCAACCTCAATCGCGGTTTCGACGCAACCCTAACCGCGATCCAACGCGCAACCCGAAGATGTGGCAAACAAATGGTCTCATTTGGGGATTTAGAGCTTTGGCGAGGATCGCACGAGGCTTTTTAAGCCTCAAAAGAGGGGAGGAGACATTGGGGGCTCAGGGTGGGGAACCTGCGAGGGCAGCACAAGAAGCCAACCTGAAGAAAAAAATGCGGGGACTTGGATTGTTTTGGCGACACGGAGACGTGAAGCGCGTCTGGGGACAGGGGGCTTGTTGCTACGAGAACAATGGGGACAAAATGTGGAGAAGGCGAGGATGACAAGGGGGTTTGTTGCTACGAGAATAATGGGAACAAAATGTGGAAATTTTGAGGGGGACATGGGGCTTGTTGCTATGAGAACAATGGGGACAAAATTTTGGCGAGGCGAAGGGAACATGGGGCTTGTTGCTATGAGAACAATGGAAACAAAATGTGGACAATTCGAGGGGGACATGGGGCTTGTTGCTACGAGAACAATGGGGACAAAATGTTGGCGAGGCAAGGGGGACTGAGCAGGGATTGTAACCACGACAGGAACGAGAACACAGCTGGAAACAAAGCAGAAAAAGTCTGACAAGTAGAAGTGTTGTGGGACAACGGTGTCTAAACTTTATCGGCTGGTTACAACTGAACATACCACAAAAGACACGTTATCCTTGGCAAACATACATGCATCTTTTTTCTTTACACATTTTTTATATCACATTTTTCCACCTCCGCGAATATTGTATTGTATAAGTAGCCCCTAATTTTTTAGAACCATTCACTAAAAAGGTACATCAATGTTTACTACAGAATGGTTTTAAAATCTAAACCAATCAGAAGAGATCCGGTTTTCATTATTACCAATTGAAATGGGGCGTTCAGAATACTAAAACAAACGTACAAGAAATAGAATACTAGATACGAATAATACCGTACGCCTAAACTAACTGAGTGAACAAATGTTTAAATTTCCAAACTAACTTTGCAACATAATGAATTCTAATATACGTAGTTGATAATAATCATACTAATACATACTTGGAGGACGAAATTTTCTATGCTTTAATATATTGTGACATTCTTACCTTCAGATTAACTGGAAAACAATTCAAGTTTGGGAACAAATTTCTCTCGTACTTCGGATGTCACATGTATGAGAAATACCGAAAAATTTGTACTCATTTTTCGTACATGCGGGATATAAACAAAGTTAATCGTAAAGTACGTAGCAGAATATAACCAGTCATAGCATTTTAAATATTTGGCCTGCTGCCAAATACACTATCATGAAACCAGTAGGTTATTCTATCTGGTGAGAGCTTCGGGCGATAAAATCAGGCTAAATGGACGCTGAGACTTCAGAAACATTTTAAAGCTCCCTCCCAACTTCTAATTATAATATGAATAACATGCACATAAATACCGGCGTCACTAGTGCCACTCGTCAGGTGCTAGCCGATACCGGCCTCACTAGTGCAGCACGTCAGGCACTATCTGATACCGGCCTCACTAGTGCCGCACGTCAGGCACTATCTGATACCGGCCTCACTAGTGCCGCACGTCAGGCACTATCTGATACCGGCCTCACTAGTGCCGCACGTCAGGCACTATCTGATACCGGCCTCACTAGTGCCGCACGTCAGGCACTATCTGATACCGGCCTCACTAGTGCCGCACGTCAGGCACTATCTGATACCGGCCNCACTAGCCGATACCGGCCTCACTAGTGCCGCAAGTCAGGCACTAGCCGATACCGGCCTCACTAGTGCAGCACGTCAGGCACTAGCCGACACCGGCCTCACTAGTGCCGCAAGTCAGGCA